GGGAGGCCGGGCAGGGAACCCTTGGACCCACATATGCAAGGACAAGCACCTACTGTATGCTTCTTGCTACCAGGCAAAAGGAACAACAACAAAAAATCCAGCACCATCTGTTCCTCAAAAGCCAAAAAGAAAGCAAGGAACAGAAGGGAGGATCCAATGAGCCTGAATTTAATCCAGTTCAAAGATGTAACCACCAGCTCACAAGAAACAAAGGGGACAGAGGAACAAGGCAAATGACACCATGAAGAAACAACCCTCCCAATCTAGATCACAGGGCTTCCTATGGGGCTTAACCCAGGTTATTTCACAGATAAATGGTAACAGCTGGGGGAGAGGGGGAGGTGAAATGGGAAACTTATGGATTTAATGGAGCTAAGAGACAAAACAGCCAAATGCAATGTAGAAACCTTGGTCAGATCCTTGTTTACGGGTAAGAAAAAGACATTTTTGAGATGTGGAGGAAATCTGAATATTGACTGGGAGTTAGATGCTCCTAAGGAATTTTTTCTTTTATTCTCTAAGATGTGATCATGGCACTGATGCTATTTTTTTTTTAAGTCATTATCCATTGCAGAGAGCATGGTGAACACTTGTTTTAAAATAATACAAGGAATGAAAACGTGGGAGAGGTAAAAAGTCAAATAAGGTGGCAAGGTTTTGATGCCTACTGAATCTGGGTGATGGGCACACAGGATTTAAGGTTAACTGCTCTCTCTGCTTTTGTGGATGTTTGAGAACATTAAGTAACATTCGTCAAAGATTGGGTACAATATTATTTATCCCTAGCCAAGAGGCCGGGCATGAAAACCCAAAGGATAGCGCTCAACGTCACATCTAAATTTTAAAAACTACAACAGAGTAACTAAATTAAATGTATCGGCACTTTTGTTTTAATCATTTTAGAGAATGAAAAATAATCCTAGTGTGTCCCTTATTCTCTTAGGCAGCCTACCTGCATAACAGCAAGTGTGTATGCCAAAGACTTTTGTACAGAAAAAGAACTATCACTATAATTAAACAAGAGTTCTGTAAGATTACGGTAGAAGAGGAAAAATCCATCCATTATTGAGAACCTAGGGAAAGCCTGAGACTCGGAGTTTCCATGAACAAATGAGAATACAATGGGTAGAGGGAAGAATATCGAATTACAACACGTTTAACCATGTTGTATGCCGTGCTGTAAAAAAAAAAAAAAAAAATAGGAGAAACACGCTTTTCTCAATTACGTGTTCAAAAATATTATTGGAGATGAAGCTCTGTTTGGTTCCATGTCTTTTGTAGTGATCCCTGGGGACGGTTCTTTCCATGTTTATGCAAAAGTACTGTCACTTGTCAGAATCCTTGAATGGGAAGGGAGGCCGTGCACACACGCCCATGAGCATCACATCTCCAGAGCTGGCCCAGAAGGGAGAGACCTCATCAAGCAAACCGAGAAAAACACACAGAAAGAAGGGAGGAAAGTGTTTTTGCAATCGACAAAGTCCATGGCTAAAAAATTAAGTTCTTTGTAAAAGCAATGTATCAAAAAATAAAATAAAATGAAAATTTATTTTAAAAACCGATATATCAAGATGGTAATGAAGGCTTATCTTCCAAATTCAATGTCTTTTTTTCCCCCAAGACTTTTTTTATTTGAGAGAGAGAGAGAGAGAAAGCACAAGCAGGGGGAGAGGCAGAGGGGGAAGCAGGCTCCCCGCTGATGAGGGAGCCTCATGCAGGACTCAATTCCAGGACCCCGGGATCACGACCCAAGCCAAACGCAGATGCTTAACCGTCTAAGCCACCCAGGTGCCCCAAAGTTCAACGTCTTAAGTAAATTAATTGTTTGATGTTATGTACAAAGCCACCATCATGCATTTACCCTTAAATGCACATATTAGATTTACTGCAGAGGAACATGGCTCTCCAAACTTATCACCAAGTGAATTTGTGAAATATTTCACATCTGGTGGGTTTGAATCAGACTTCCAAAGAAAATGACTATAAAAAAAAAAAAGAGAGAGAGAGAGAAGTATATACCATATACCACGTGCTGCCAATAGGGGGCAGCCTCAATGTTATAAACAAATTATCCTGTGTTAAGGTCTTTGTTCATAAGGTTATGGAAAAGCACTTCATTTTTACGTGCTTTCCTCTTAGAAAGGTAATAGATGAAATCCTATAGGGGAAAATCAGATTGAATTTAACTGCATCACAAAGTGTTCCCAGGATGGCCGCTTTCTTAAAAACCGTCAGAGATGAGTCATTTAATGTAAAACTGCTCCCCCGCACAATCAAGTTTCTCATAAATGCAGCTGTTTCCATAATACGAAGAAATATAATTATCACCTTAGCCAACCCCACGTCATCAATGTATTTTTTCCTAAGTTTTTATTTTTAAGTAATCTCTACACCCAGTGTGGGGCTCGAACTCACAACCCTGAGAGCAAGACCCACGCTGAGATCAAGAGTCAGATGCTTAACCCATTGAGTCACCCAGGAACCCCTCAAAGTTTTATTTTTATTTAAATAATCTCTACACCCAGTGTGGGGCTCGAACTCACAGCCCCGAGTTCAAGAGTCCCAAGCTCCACGGACTGAGCCAGCCTGGTACCCCTAACAGATGTGTTTTCTAGATTGGCCTGTGCAGTATGGGAGCCACCAGCCACATGTACTTCAGGAGCACTTAAAATGTACTAAGGAATTAAGATGTTAATCTACTTTTAATTTAAAATTAAATCTAAAAACCAATACTCGATGCAGTTACTGAGAAAGTTCCCAGTGTTTTTGGAAAGCCTGGGCATGTGAGTCTTATTTTTCCAACTGTAGAACGTTTTGGACGTTAAATAAAGATCAAGTATTTCTGATGAAAATATAGTACCCTAATTGGGATGCACCACACTGATAAGATGCACAAGGGATTTCAAAAACTTAGCAACAGAAATTCATGTAAATCCTCTCAATTTCTGCACTGATTATATGTTGAAATACTTGGATTTGAGATATACTGAATTAAATAGGCTATCTTACTAAATTTCTACTTTCTTTTCTAAAGATTTTATTTTTCGGTAAGCTGTATGCCCAACGTGGGACTCGAACTCACAACCCCATGATGAGTCGCACGCTCTACCGAATGAGCCAGGCAGGCACCCCAAAATTTTTACTTTTAAAAACAAGGCTTCTTGAAGAGTTTAAATCACACATGAGGTGTGTGTTGTATTTGTACTGGACAGGGCTGCACTAGAGAGAAATTTTAGGAGCATAAATTACTAAATGTGTCCAGGGGAACGAAACGTACACCTTGATCCTTCTCCATGGGATATTTTAGGACTGTAGGTGTGATGGTATCAGCAAAAGACAGCCCTGTCTCCCTCCGTCTCTGTCTGGGTGTGTGACTCTCTTCCATGCCTAACTGTACCAAGCGACCAATGAGCCAACCGGGGAATATAGGAAAGAAAGCTCACATTTTTAGTAGGGGGGATAAACAGCAAAAATAACCAGCTTTGCAAGTACATCAGCCTCACTGAAGCAGAATGTTGTACCCGTATATGTTACGTACTCTATAATTGCACACATGCGCTGTAAATGTTTTCCCAGCAGCATGGGGCAGTCTGGATCATTGGGCGAAGCACGTGAAGAAGCCATTTTATGCCTGACCACGTTAAGGTCTCATTTTATAGGACTATTCGTGATGAGATCAACGTCAGTGCAAATGATGCTGAAAACGTTTGTTCCAGTGAGCCCGGTGTTAGAAATCGACGTAAGAGAATTCAGCGGACATACAAATCCGTGGGCTTTCATTTACATAGAAAAATACTGAAACGGATAATCTGCTTGTTCAGCAAGAGGACCTTTTCAGTGTTTCATTAGTCTTCAGAAATAAGAAGCAAGATAGAAAATTATTTTAAAACAACCCCAAGATGACCTCGTGCATAATCTCTTCTTGTCAAAGATGGTGAACTGATCATATCCACCTCTGCTCCCTCCCAAAAGGCAATGAGGAATGACAGGAAGAAGTTTTTAAAAAGTGTAAAGCATGGGGCGCCTGGGTGGTTCAGTGGGTTAAGCGTCTGCCTTCGGCTCAGGTCATGATTTCAGGGTCCCGGGATTGAGCCCCACACCGGGCTCCCAGCTCAGCGGGGAGCCTGCTTCTCCCTCCACCTGTGTCCCTCCCTGCTCAGCTCGTGCTGTCTCTCTCTCTCCAATAAATAAAATCTTAAAAAAAAAAAGAAAGCATAATACATGAGGTTTCAGAAGGGGCAAGCAGAGAGCAGGATCAAAATTTTGGAAGCTGTCCCAGGAGTTGGACCACAAAAAAGGAAACATCCAACACGCGGGTTGAAAGCAGTCTTCGGCGGAGGGGGGAAAGGGGCGGGGGGGGGGGAGGGGAGGGAGCTCCTTGACACACAGGAAGTGCAACCCTATAATTCTGATAAAAAGAATGAGTCATTTGAGATACAGCACCGCACACCTGCCGATGGCTAATATCAAACAAGCAAGACAGGCGTTGGTGAGGATGCCCAGAAAGGGGAATGGTCATGCACTGTTGGTGGGAATGGAAGCCGGGGCAGCCACTGTGAAGAAGAACATGGAGGGTGCTCAGAAAGTTAAAAATGGAGCTACCCTACGACCCAGCAACTGCACATGTGGGTATTTATGTGAAGAAATGAGAACAGTGCCTTAAAAACATACTTGCACCCTCCTGCTCACTGCAGTATTATTTATAGCGGCACGACATGGAAGCAAGCTGAGTGTCCACCCACACATGAACGGACAAAGGAAATGTGGTCTCCACACACGACGGGCTACGATTCGCCCTTAAAAAGGACATCCTGCCACTGGCGACAACGTGGATGGACCCTGAGGCCACTATGCCGAGGAAGGTAAGTCGGGCACAGAAGAAACACAACCACGGCACGCGGGGTCCCTTACGTGTGGAATCCCAACACAACCAAACTCGCGGGAGCGGGGAGGAGCATGGCGGCTGCCGGACGCGGCCACGGGTGACCGCGGCCACTTACTTGTCCACCAGCTTCTTGGCGAAGCCGAAGTCGGTGAGCTTGATGTGACCCTCCCGGTCCAGCAGTATGTTTTCCGGCTTCAAGTCCCTGTAGACGATCTCCTTGGAGTGCAGGTACTCGATGGCGCAGACGATCTCCGCAGAGTAGAACAGCCCCGTGGTGCTGGAGAAGCGGCCCCGGTTGCGCAGGTAGCTGAACAGCTCGCCGCCCGGCACGAACTCCATCAGCATGTAGAGGAAGCGCTCGTCGTGACACGTCCAGAACCTGCGGGAGGGCAGCGCGGGAGTGAGCGCGGTGCGCGGTGCCGCGGGTCCCCGCCAACGAATGTCAGCCCCAGACACCTGCTGTGCTGTGGGGGACGGACATGAAGGATGTCCTCTACGTCGACGGGAGGAGATTCATGCCGAGGAATGGATGCCACAATATGCAGGTGGGCAGGTGTGGAAATCTGTTAGAGATGGATGTTAAGATGTGGCACCAATAAGATGTGGGGGGCGCCTGGGGGGGGCTCTGTCGCTGAAGCAACTGCCTTCGGCTCAGGTCATGACCTCAGGGTCCTGGGATGGAGCCCCGTGTTGGGCTCCCTGCTCGGCGGGGAGCCTGCTTCTCCCTCTGCCCCATCCACCCAGCTCATGCTCTCTCTCTCTCTCTCTCAAATAAATAAAATCTTAAAAAAAAATCTTGGCCAACAGGCTGAATTGTGCCCCCCAAAATTACATGTGGAAGCCCTAGCCCCCAGGACTTCAGAATGGGAACATATGAGGGAATAAGCTCTTTGAAGAGGGGGTTAAGGTATAATGAGGTCACTAGAGTGGGCTCTGATCCCATAGGACTGGGGTCCTTATAAGAAGAGGAGCTGAGGACACAGACACACACAGACGACCACGTTGAGGACATGGGGAGAACATGGGATCTACACACCAGGGATGAAGGTCTCAGGAGGAACCGGCCCTCGGCCCCGCCTGGATCTCAGACTCCCAGCCTCCAGGACTATGGGAAATAAATGTGTGTTGTTTAAGCCCTTCAGTCTGTGGGATTTGTTCTGACAGCCCAAAGCAAATTCATGCACAGTGGACACATTTTCGGGGATCACACCTGGTTCGGCCAGCTGGCCCTGTAATCGAGACTGGAAATGTAACAGTAAATGAACGGGCTGCCTCCCAAACACCTGCCGGGGTAAGGTGGCCATTAAAAATGTCGGAGAGAGTCAGAAGAGGCGCGTCCTCCTTACAAGGGCATTCTACTACTGGAAGGAGAGGTGGGGGAGGAGGGATGACAGGAGACGCCAGGTCCTGTCTGTTTCCGAGGAGAAGTCTTGACAAAAGGAAACAATAAAAAACACATTGTAGGGAGATCAGCAGTGATGGAGGAAGACTATTTTCTCATAGAGGAGATGTGGGAAGAAGAGAAACGAGCTTTGGAACTACGCTCTGCATTTCTGGGGGGACGTAGGAAGTACAAGGATGTGTATGATATAATCAGCAGTAAGAGTAGTCCCCCAGTAAAAGCCACCCTGCCGGGATGGGAGACGTACAGGACGATGTTAACCACGGCCACGCTATGGTGTCAATACTGCAAGGCTCCCGCTTGCATCTTCTGTGATCAGGACAATACAGTGCTTCCCTGCAGAGCTGTCTCCCCATGAGCTGCATCCAACTGGGCTTCACCAAAGATACAATCACACCCGGAAAACTGGCCATCCCTTCGGGAGGACGCTCAGCACACCTGCTCTACCAGAGGGTCTCACCTGCCGGGATGGGCCATTCCAGTGAAATAGAGTAAAATGGGGGGAGACAGATTGCCATGACATGAAGATTAACTCGAAGGAAAATCACAAAGGGATAAGCATATACAGCGGGTCAGGACAGTATGAGTTAAGGCAAAGAAAGAAAAACATGTGACAGAAGAGAGAAAAAAAACCCCAATCACAGAAATGAAAAACTCTGCTAGCATTTAAAAAAGAATGTTTGGTTTGCTACTCATGGTGTTTCCAGGTATTAGCAAAACACAGGTCATGTGTACAAAAAGCTTTCACAAAATACACGGGGGAAACGTGCAGACCCTTTGCAGTAAGGGTGCCATTCCCGACGACACGTACCCACAAACGGGCTTTGCACAAATGCTGTCCTGTCTCCGAGCTGCTACCAGCAATGAGACCACGGGGACTTGCCGGAGGTCCCTGTTTTCAGTTACTGAAGGCTGTGCATCTGTGTCCTGCTTCCCCTTCCCACTTCTCACAGCTCAGAAGGCTCAAGATTTGCGGTACGAAGGCACAAACGGATACAGGAAGCAGGAACAGTGTTTTGGGGGTTTGGGCTGCTATTGTCACTTCCTGGAAAAGTCTTTTACAGTTACACGGACTCCCCAACCAGCCACATTCTTTCTACCATTTAAAGCACAGAGGAGTGTTTCCTTTCGGCCACATGCTCTACTTCGTGATTAGTATGGTTAAGAACATGCCTTCCCATGACGTTTCAATATAATCGCTTCGTATTTCAAATGTATATGGCGGCCACACTCTGCTTTCATGGGGGAGCTTGGAATCCAAGAATGACTTCACCATTCTGGTGGGGAAATATGATGGTCTAGGATCCAAATAACACTGGAGTGGTGAACTTGTAGAATGAACCTCTATGTAGGCTGGTGACATTCAGATTTCTCCAGAAGAAGATGAGTGCCTAATTTAAGTAGAACTCACCAGAAAACGCCTGGTGTTCCAGAATTTGGGGGTAGCACGGAGCTCTTGACTCGACCCCAGATGGCCAAAACTATCCAACTCATAGCACTACCATTTTCCACAGTTTTGTTGTTGACTTTCAGTGAAAAGGTAGGAAATATGCAATATCCTGTCTCCCTACCACTCAGATGCCTAAGTACGTGCATGCATGCACGCGCACACACACACACACACACACACACATACACACACACACACGTACACACTCATCAATGGTATGCACTCATTCTTTGGATATATTCTATAGGCACTCCTATTGATCCACAGCCAGGATAATAATCTACACAGATTCTCTCTTAGCTCTTGAGAACAATGCATCCACCATGTTGCAATGCAACTTAGTTTCACCCTTCAAAGGCAGGGGAGATAATTCACAATGGGGGAGATTACAACGGGGCCAAGCGAGTCAGCCTGTAAGGAATGAAAATGAACTTTTGGGATTAATCGACCAAGTGGAATGTGTCAACCCCCAAGACCGGAAGGGTGGACACCAGGAGATTCGGGCAGAAGGAATGGGTCAAGATCTCAGAGTCTGTCACCTGGGTTCCAGGTGAGTTAAATTCCGTCCACGGTTAGGTTTATATATATATAAAAATTGGGACTTAGTGTCTACCGTTCTGCTCCCAATTCCAACATGTGTTGTTGTTCTTTTCCCCACACCACCAAGCAATTCTGTGACACCAGCTGCGTGTCCTACAATTCAACTCAATTCTGACACTGTCTACAGCAGGAGACCCCGCACTTAAGGGTGCAGTCCTACAACACTCCCCCAACACACGCACTTTTGATGCCAATCACGAGTCTAGGTCCCGTGCTTCTGGCAGAGCCACTGTAGGTCAGAGGTTCCAAACTCTCCTCCTTGGGTTCCATTAATCTGCCGGAGGTACTTACAGAGCTCAGGGAAACATGTTACTCACTGGATCACTGGTTTATTATAAAGAGATAAAACTCAGCAACAGCCAGATGGCAAAGACACATAGGACCAGGTGTGGGGAAGCTTCCGCGCCTTCTCCAAGTGAGCCACACTCCCCAAATCTGCCCAAACTCACCACCCTGGAAGCTCCCAAACCGGGCCCTTCTGTGATTGCACGGAAGCTCTTCATGAAGGCAAGGTTGATTAAATCACTGGCAATTAGGGATTAACTCAGCCTCCAGCCCCTCTGGTCTCCTGGCAGATCTGGGGTGGGACCGAGAATTCCAACCCTCCAATTACGGGATTGGTTCCCCGGGCAACCAGCCCCTGCCCTATGGTGTTTTCCAAAGTCACCTCATTCACATAACAAAAGCCACCTTTGTCACTCCTATCACTGAGGAAATTCCAAGGATTTTAAGAGCTCAGTGCCAAGGACAAAGACGAAACATCTATTTCTTCTTAAAAATCACATTATCAAGTGACAAATGTCACACACAAATGACTGAGTGGGAAGAACTAGACCGATATACATTTGTAGCACATTTGTTGCACAAATCTCTCAATAAAATCCAACAGAGCGTCAACAACAACCTAAAAAGAACACTATATATCAAGTGGGCTGTCAATCCTACCTAACAACAGCACACTCAGGTGCCCTCGGTCACTAGCACCCTTGAGAAGTAACGGCTTTCCAAATAAAGGTACTCCACGAGGACTCAAAAACCGAGACTATGAAAAAAAAAAACTCATGAGGGCCCAGGTTTCCCTGTCCGTCTGCAAGTCAAATAAATATCCTATGAAAAAAAATTCCACGGACACATCTTTCCTTCAAATTTACATGAATAAGACTTCTCTTATATGGAGAGAATGTGTAACGTGCTGGGCGTTATTAATAAGCACCACAATATTCAAGGAGATGCTGACGTTACTATTACAAAAACATTTATAAGCAGTAAGTCATCGCTTGGGGCTTGTGGGTGGAGGAGGGGAGGGGTCTGGATGGCCATAGAATTAAAATCTGAGTTTAGAAAATGAGAAACAGGACTAATGGCATCAGCCAATGCATTGGTTAATTCATTCCCATTCCTTGCAGGACTCCGTCCCTTGCATGGAGTCTATAAACAACAAAACGCAAGGGCAAAAGGACGTAAGCGGGTTTGCCACCAGTGGTATGAGAAAGAGAGGCATTTCTGGATCAGTATGTATTAGGAGTCTTGCTCAAGCACCACGGGTCAACGACTCATGAAACACAATCTATCCACATCCATACTCAACTTGCTCTTTGCTTCATTTACTGGGTAAATTCTTTTTTAAGATTTTATTTATCTGAGAGAGAGAGAGAGAGAGATCACGAGTGGTGGCGGGCAGGTACAGGGAGAAGCAGACTCCCCGTTGAGGATCCTGGGATTATGACCTCAGCCAAAAGCAGACGCTTAACCGACTGAGCCACCCAGGTGCCCTTACTGGGTAAATTCTGACCAAGGACCCACTGTATGCCAGGCAACGAGCTGGATACACACAACAATGGAAAAAGGGCAGTTCTTTTGCTGATGGTCTTGAGCCTTGCGGGCTAGTTGGGGAGCTGAGCACAAATAGGGAACACAGGATGGCCGG